CTCCAGCTCCTCCTGCTCCTGCTCATCCTCCTGCTCCTTCTCCTCCCCTCCTCTTCCTCCTCCTCCCTCTTTCCTCCTCCTTTTCCTAGCCATTTTGGCTCAAGCCCGTCTTCATTCAAGCCCATCTTCATTCAAGCCCGTCTTCATTCAATACATCCTATCCTATCACTTCTCGCAGTTCGCCATGTCTTCTCCGCAGCCCGGAACGGCGTCGGATGCTACCGCGATCGTGCCAGCTCGCGCACCGGGTACCCCCGTGGGCAAGCTGTTCAACAACCCGTTCATGAAAAAGGCGCGCAGTAAGTACTCGGACTCCCCTCTCTCACCTCTGCTCCCGAAGGATGGCTACCAGAAGATGGAGGATGACCAGGATGAGGAGGAGCTGATCCCAGGACCAGTCGAACAGTTGAACTTCGACGGAGTGGTGGAGGACAGCAGCCGGGGAAGGGGGCAGGTTACGATGGCGGGTATCGCAGGTCTCCTCCGGAAGGAGATGGCGCCCATGACTAAGGCGATTCAGGACCTCCAGAAAGGCTTCGGGAATCTCGACCTGCGCATGTCGTCCCTCGCGGACTCGGCGGACGTCCGCCTGAGCAACGTGGAGAAACGTATCGACATCACCGAAGTCCAGATCGAGAAGCTCGAGAACCTCGTCAAGCAGCTCTCCGAGAAGGGCAGCTCGTTTCACACGACCCCCAAGAAGGAATCAGGCGGCCATTGCACGGGAGGAGGGGGAGTGACAGACAAGCGGAATATTACAGCAGTGGTAGGCAATCTCGATTCGCTCGACTCGCTGGAAGCGGCCAGTGCCTGGCTTCACGACAAACTTTCTTCGCTCCAGGGCCCACCCCCAGCCAAGATCTACTCGAAGGGGGACTTCGGCGGGGTATTATTCGCGGAGTTCCAGAACTCTGGTCAGCGAGATGCGGCAATGGATTTCCTGAGGAAGGCAGGGTTGAAGTCCGGAGGCAGGAACATCTGGGCAAACCAGGACCGCCCAATTATGGAGAGGGCAGCTCGGAACTTCTGCTTTGGCCTGAAGCACGTCTTCAAGAAGGCGTGGGACATCCCATACACAGTCTCCGTGAGTGACGAGGCCCCTTACTCGGTTTGGGTTGGGGGGGAGTTGGCAGTGACCGCGCACATTTTCCCAGACAAGGTCGTTCGCGAATGGCACGGGGACTGGGCCTCTTGGGAGGAGCTCCACAGCAGCCCGGAGGTGACGGACCTTACGAACAAGTGCGACTCCCTCGCCGCGAAAGCCACCACGGGCATGAAGGGCTCCAAGGGTCGCGGCAAAGGCGGTGGCTCAGAATAGGGTCTACAAGAGCCGTCCGGCACGGTTCCACCGAGAGCTTCACAATCGAATTCTTTATCAACTTGTACATATGCACGTGCTGGGAGCAATGGCGCTGGAGACCCTGGCTTTCGAGGTGGGAATCTGCGCCCTTGCGGGAGGGACGTTCTGCTGGGTTCCTGGAATGTGGAGGGGCTCACCAAGGCAAAGGTAGAGGAACTCCAGGTTCACATGCAGGAGCTTAGTATTGATATTTTGGCATTACAAGAAACTCACAAGTACGAGTCCGTGTACGATATTACAGACAAAGGTTTCCTACTGATCCAATCGGGGGACTCAGACGATCAGGAAACCGCCGGCGTGGCTTTCTTGATCGCGCCAGACATCCGGAGAAGCATCGTCGGTTTTCGGATGGTTTCTGCCAGGATCATGTTTATCAAGTTGCGTGTCCATGGTGGGAAGCTTCCTATCTTCAGTGCGTACGCCCCTCACAGTGGCAAGCCCTTGGACGCCAGACGGGATTTTTACACAAAGCTTGGAGAAGAGCTATCTGGTGCATCTGGCCGGCAACGGGCAGTGGTGTTGGGCGATTTCAATGCGAGGCTGCACAGGCGCTTCGCCGGGGAGTCCGCGCACCTGGGGGAATACATATTCGGCAACCCTGCCGCGCAGCATAATCCGTCTTCCAATCGGACGTTGTTGCTCGAGCTGTGCAGCACCCATGACTTCGTGATCGCGAACACATTCTTCAACCATCCCGCAGAGCAGCAGGTCACGTGCTACAATGTCGGATCACAGCCGTCCAGTCCAGCAGTCCCAGAACATTATGGCCAAATCGACTTCTTGTTATGCTCAGGTGCACGCCTGGAGTGCGTGACAGACGTCCGAAGCAACAAAGATATAGCTCTCGCTTCTCACCATTTCTTGCTGTTGTGCTACGTCCAGCTCGACATCTGACTACCTACCAGACCACCCCAACCCAACCCGAAGGCCCGAATTTGACCCGAATTTCGGGTTGGGGGGGGTACGGATTCCATGTGTTTTTCCGATGTTCCCCGACGCCCCCCACTGGAAATCGAGGATAATTTTGGGCCTTCGGGTTGGGTTGGGGTGGTTTGGTGGGTGGTGAACATCGACGACGCCCACCAACCGTGCCGGCAGAAAGTCGACGTGCGAGCGCTCGCTCAAGCACCGCTCCAGCGAAGCTTTAACAACGCCTTCGCGGACTGCATGGCAGCAGAGCGTCGGGGGGCCCGGCAGACGCTCGACGAGCGGAACAATAACATGGTTGATGCCTTCTCTGCCTCTGCTGCTGCGTGTCTGCCCCAGACCCGGCAGACGCACAGACGCCCGTGGATCAGCGACGCCACGGTGGAGCTGATCGCAGCTAGGAACAGGGCCCGGGCGGGGGGCCATCTGGCACGCGAGAAGATTCTCAATGGCAGGATAAAAGCTTCTGTGAAGAACGACAAGAGCATCTGGCTGGACAAGCGACTGCAGACCGGAGATTGGGACGAAGTCCGAAGGTTGCGCAAAGGTTCGACGGCCGCGCAGGGCCGAATGAAGGACTCACAAGGGCGTCTTGTAGACAGCGAAATGAGAGCGCAAACTCTGGCAGAATATTTCGAGAACGTGCAGTGGGCAGTGAGGCCGACTACGGTTGTCGACAATCCCGAACCACTGGGGGACGCACTCCCGACAGAATTGGGGCCGATTACCGAGCAGGAAGTATGCGAAGCGGCGCGAGCTCTGAAGCGGAACCGGGCCGCGGGAAAGGACGGCGTGCCAGCTGAGTTCTGGAAGGCTGTGTGCGTGGCTGAGACGCCAGCTTGCCAGTGGGCCGTCTTACTTTGCAACCGGTGTTGGCTGGAAGCAGACGTTCCCGAAGCCTGGCACGAGGCTGTCGTTTCTGCAATATTCAAGAAAGGCGATTCTTCTGACAGTGCAAATTATCGACCCATATCCCTTCTGCCGATTGGGTACAAATTGTACGCAATGATATTGTTGTCGCGACTGAAAAAGGCAGGGGTCGAAGAACGCATATGGACCACTCAATTCGGCTTCCGGTCTGGCCGGGGAACAGCGGACGCTCTGTTCATCGCCAGGTGTTTGATCGAGGACACGTGGGACTCCGAAGCAGGCAAGCTGATTCTCCTCGCGCTTGACTGGGCGAAGGCGTTCGACAGCGTGTCTCCCGTGGCTTGGTGCAGGCGCTCGTCCGCTTCGGTGCGCCCGAGAAGTTCGCATCGGCGGTCAAGGCCATAAATACTAACCGGAGCTTCTGCGTGCGCGACGCGGGGTCCATGTCCGACTCAAGGCCGCAAGCGTTCGGGATATCACAGGGATGCCCGCTGTCGCCTTTTCTCTTCTCGATCGTGATGACCCTGCTGATGTTCGACGCGACGCGCAGCATGCTCGGCAGAGGCATTCATCAAGATGGCCGGCTGCACCTGAGCGAATTGATCTACGCCGATGACACATTGATTGTTGGTGTGACAGAGGAGTACGTCCGCGATCTCATGGAGAGCATCAGAGAGGCCGGCACCAATTATGGCGTATGTTTTAATTGGGGCAAGCTAGAGGTAATGTCAATTCGTTGCCAGACACAGCTTCTACGCCCTGACGGTCAACCGATCACCCAGAAGGATAACATGGTGTATCTTGGGGGGCTGCTCCACGCAGACGGTGGGAGCGGAGCTGAACTCAGTCGGCGCATCGGCATGGCCCAGAAAGATTTCGACACGCTGTGCAGACTGTGGAGACACGCAAAGATATGTCTGCCCAAGAAGGTCATGATGTTTGAAGCCTGTGTCGTGTCCAAGCTGATGTACTGCCTGCACACCCTCTGGTTGAACCAGGCAGAGAGATCGCGACTGGACGCCTTCCAAGCTCGGTGCCTGCGAAAAATCGCAGGAGTCCCTCACTCCTATCTCAGCCGGGTGTCCAACGCAGCCGTGCTGGAGAGGTGCGGCAGGAATCGTCTGACATCCAGTTTAGCTTGCAAGCAGCTCGAGCTGATTGGAAAAATCGCTTGTCTACCAGAAGACAATGTCACGCGACGAACGGTATTCCAACCAGGGTCGTTCATCCTAGCCCGCCCTTTCGGGCCCCGGAGACGGGGCAGACCGAGGAACACATGGAAGCGCAATGTGTTTGACTTCGCCTGCGCAGCGGCCGGTGGCCGAGACGCCTTGGCGGAGCTGTGGCGGCACAGACCTGGAGACTGGCGCGGAGTCGCAAGGCGCTTCTCTTCGCAGCTGTAGCATTCAGCAGATATGGATGGTTTGTCTGAATGTAGAGTGGACTGTCTCTGCTTACAGGGGTGGTGGGAGAGCCACTCACATGGACTGAAACAGCGTGAGCAGTGAGCCTGCCAGTGCTGTTTCCTCCTCGCCCTCCTCCTCGCCTTCGTCCTCCTCCCCCTCGTCGTCCTCCCCCCCTTCGCCGCCGCCGTCGTCGCTGTCGGTGTCTGCGCGGCGGCTTCTTGATTCGCAGCCGCGCCTCCGGCAGCGGAACTTGCTGTTTCACTTATTTGCCAACGCACCCCTGACGTGCACGGCGCTTCGTTCGTTCGTTCCCCCGTCTCCTCCTCACCTTCCTTGCAAGACTCCTCCCCCTCCCTCCTTGCCCTGGAACTCCGCGACATCTGGCAAATAAGCTCGCTTCGGAGCCAACATTGCGGAAGCCGAACCGAGGACAGGGCCGAACCAGTCCCCGGGAAGCTTCTGGGTGAGCTCCTGTGAATCCAGTGGAGTCACTTCCGCATGATAAGAAGAGGAGATGACAGCAGGACGCACCTAGTCTTAAACAAAACAATCGAACGAATTACCTGCGCAACACAAAACATTAATGTGTGACGGGTCATCGGTATATCGGGCTTTGCATCGTGACCTCGACGCAACCTTGTTCTATATCATCGATTTCACATACATGGGTTCACACTGACGTTTCCCAAACAGTGCTTGCACTTAAGAGTCTCTGACTTCTCTTAACCATCTCGGGACCTGGGCCGGCTTTTGCAGGCGGTGCCGCCCGTCGCCGTCCATCGCCGCCGCTCGTCTCGGGACCAGGGCCAGCCGTCGCCGTCGGTGCCGCCCGTCGCCGCCGTCGCCGCCGCCGTCGCCACACCGTCGCCGCCTTGCTCTGCTTTCAAGATGGTTCTGGAACCGAACCGAAACGGCCGAACCGAACCGGGCCGAACCGGCGCGAACCGGTTCTTTGTCGATGGGAACCGAAACGAACCGAACCAGGAAATTGCGACACCGAACCGAACCGAACCGAGACCCCGAACCGGGCCGAACCCCTCCCCCCCGCCGGACCGGACCGAACCGGACCGAAACGGAAAACTGGTCTTAAGTCGGGTTTGTCCCCCTACAGGGAGATTTTCGACGAAAAATAAAAAATACCCTACAAATAATCAAAACAAATAAAATTAGCCTGGCGAAGAACCCAACCATATGCAGTTGTCAGTACCGCAGCTGCGGGTTTCATCTTCAATGGAATTCCCCATAGGACTACGAAACGTGTGAGGGGTGTGCGAGAATGGGGGGTGGAACCGCATGCGAGCGCAGCCACTGGGGCGTTCGGTGGAGCTCCCTATGGAGCCACGAAACGTGTGAGGGGTGTGCCAGAATGAGGGGTGGAACCGCATGCGAGCGCAGCCACTGGGGCCTTCGGTGGAGCTCCCTATGGGGCCACGAAACGTGTGAGGGGTGTGCCAGAATTGGGGGTGGAACCGCATGCGAGCGCAGCCACTGGGGCCTTCGGTGGAGCTCCCTATGGAGCCACGAAACGTGTGAGGGGTGTGCCGAAATGGGGGGTGGAACCGCATGCGAGCGCAGCCACTGGGGCGTTCGGTGGAGCTCCCTGTGGGGCCACGAAACGTGTGAGGGGTGTGCCGAAAAGAGGGGTGGAACCGCATGCGAGCGCAGCCACTGGGGCCTTCGGTGGAGCTCCCTATGGGGCCACGAAACGAATGAGGGGTGTGCCGAAATGGGGGGGTGGAACCGCATGCGAGCGCAGCCACTGGGGCTTCGGTGGAGCTCCCTATGGGGCCACGAAACGTGTGAGGGGTGTGCCGAAATGGGGGGTGGAACCGCATGCGAGCGCAGCCACTGGGGCGTTCGATGGAGCTCCCTATGGGCCACGAAGCGTGTGAGGGGTGTGCCGAAATGTGGGGGCGGAACCGCATGCGAGCGCAGCCACTGGGGCGTTCGGTGGAGCTCCCTGTGGGGCCACGAAACGTGTGAGGGGTGTGCCGAAAAGGGGGGTGGAACCGCATGCGAGCGCAGACGCTGGGGCCTTCGGTGGAGCTCTCTATGGGGCCACGAAACGTGTGAGGGGTGTGCCGAAATGGGGGGGGTGGGGGTGGAACCGCATGCGAGCGCAGCCACTGGGGCGTTCGGTGGAGCTCCCTATGGGGCCACGAAACGAGTGAGGGGTGTGCGAGAATGGGGGGTGGAACCGCATGCGAGCGCAGCCACTGGGGCCTTCGGTGGAGCTCCGCTCCATATGGGGCCACGAAACGTATGACGGGTGTGCCGAAATGGGGGGTGGAACCGGGGTGTGCGTGACGCATGCGAGCGCAGCCACTGGGGCGTTCGGTGGAGCTCCCTGTGGGGCCACGAAACGTGTGAGGGGTGTGCCGAAAAAGGGGGGTGGAACCGCATGCGAGCGCAGCCACTGGGGCCTTCGGTGGAGCTCCCTGTGGGGCCACGAAACGTGTGAGGGGTGTGCCGAAATGGGTGCAGGGGACGCATGCTGATGATGATGATGATGATGATGATGATGATGATGATGATGATGATGATGATGATGATGATGATGATGGTAATGGTGATGGTGATGATGCGGAGGATGATGATGATGATTATGATGATGATGATGATTATGATGATGATGCTGCTGATGATGATGAGGAGGATGACAATGATGATGATGATGATGATGATGATGATGATGGTGGCGATAACGGCGATGTTGATTGCGATGATGGTGATGATGACGATGGTGACGACGACGATGATGACGATGACGATGACGACGATGATGGTGATGATGTTGACGATGATGATGATGACGGGAGGAGGGAGGAGGGGGGAAGAGGAGGAGACGAGAGGAGGACGCGGGGCACCGTCTCTTCAAAACGAGGACCCAACACCACATGATGGTTGGGAAAAAATTCGTTTGGGTTTTTCCCAACCCTCCTGCGTTGGGTACTCGTTTTGAATAGAACACTGCGGTCTCCACCTTCCTTCCTTCCCGCCTCCTCCTCCTCTCTTCCCTCTTCCTCTCCTCTCTTGCTTCCCTTCTCCGCCTCTCTTCGCTCCTCCTCTTCTCTCTTGCATCCCTTCTCCTCTCTTCGCTCCTCCTCTCTTGCTTCCCTTCTCCTCCTCTCTTCGCTCCTCCTCTTCTCTCTTGCCTTTTACGTCATCCCTTTGGGGCTGCGATCTGTGAAACTGTCGCCACTTTCGAGGGCTGCTGGTGGGTCCAGCGGAGTGAGGCACCACGCAGATTCAGATTAGACCTCGCCATCCCTGGGGGGCTGCGATCTGCGAAACTATCGCCACTTTCGAGGCTGCTGGTGGGTCCAGCGGAGTGAGGCACCACGCAGATTCAGATTAGACCTCGCCGTCCCTGGGGGGCTGCGATCTGCGAAACTGTCGTCACTTTCGAGGGCTGCTGGTGGGTCCAGCGGAGTGAGGCACCACGCAGATTCAGATTAGACCTCGACTTTCGAGGGCTGCTGGTGGGTCCAGCGGAGTGAGGCACCACGCAGATTCAGATTAGACCTCGCCATCCCTGGGGGTGTGCGATCTGCGAAACTGTCGTCACTTTCGAGGGCTGCTGGTGGGTCCAGCGGAGTGAGGCACCACGCAGATTCAGATTAGACCTCGCCATCCCTGGGGGCTGCGATCTGCGAAACTGTCGTCACTTTCGAGGGCTGCTGGTGGGTCCAGCGGAGTGAGGCACCACGCAGATTCAGATTAGACCTCGCCGTCCCTGGGGGGCTGCGATCTGCGAAACTGTCGTCACTTTCGAGGGCTGCTGGTGGGTCCAGCGGAGTGAGGCACCACGCAGATTCAGATTAGACCTCGCCATCCCTGGGGGGCTGCGATCTGCGACACTGACGCCACATTCGAGGGCTGCTGGTGGGTCCAGCGGAGTGAGGCACCACGCAGATTCAGATTAGACCTCGCCATCCTTGGGGGGCTGCGATCTGCGAAACTGTCGCCACATTCGAGGGCTGAGGGTGGGTCCAGCGGAGTGAGGCACCACGCAGATTCAGATTAGACCTCGCCATCCCTGGGGGGCTGCGATCTGCGACACTGACGCCACATTCGAGGGCTGCTGGTTGCGAAACTGCCGCCACATTCGAGGGCTGCTGGTGGGTCCAGCGGGGTGAGGCACCACGCAAATTCACATTAGACCTCGCCATCCCGGGGGGGCTGCGATCTGCGACACTGACGCCACCTTCGAGGGCTGCTGGTGGGTCCAGCGGGGTGAGGCACCACGCAGGTTCAGATTAGTCCTCGCCATCCCTGGGGGGCTGCGATCTGTGAAACTGTCGCCACTTTCGAAGGCTGCTGGGGTGGCCAGCGGAGTGACGCCCCACGGGGACTTAGATTAGACCTCGCCATCTCTGGGGGGCTGCGATCTGCGAAACTGTCGCCACTTTCGAGGGCTGCTGGGGTGGCCAGCGGAGTGACTCCCTACGGTGACTCAGATTAGACCTCGCCATCCCTGGGGGGGCTGCGATCTGCGAAACTATCGCCACTTTCGAGGCCTGCTGGGGGGGCCCAGCGGAGTGACGCCCTACGGGGACTCAGAGTCGACCTCGCCATCCCTGGGGGGCTGCGATCTGTGAAACTGTCGCCACTTTCGAGGCTGCTGGGGGGCCCAGCGGAGTGACGCCCCACGGGGACTCAGAGTCGACCTCGCCATCCCTGGGGGGCTGCGATCTGAAAGTGTCGCCACTTTCGAAGGCTGCTGGGGGGCCCAGCGGAGTGACGCCCTACGGGGATTAGACCTCGCCATCCATGGGGGGCTGCGATCTGTGAAACTGTCGCCACTTTCGAGGGCTGCCGGGGGGGGCCCAGCGGAGTGACGCCCTACGGGGATTCAGATTAGACCTCGCCGTTCCTGGGGGGCTGCGATCTGCGAAAGTGTCGCCACTTTCGAGGGCTGCTGGGGGGCCCAGCGGAGTGACTACGGGGATTCAGATTAGACCTCGCCATCCCTGGGGGGCTGCGATCTGTGAAAGTGTCGCCACTTTCGAAGGCTGCGTGGGGGGCCCAGCGGAGTGACGCCCTACGGGGATACAGATTAGACCTCGCCATCCCTGGGGGGCTGCGATCTGTGAAACTGTCGCCACTTTCGAAGGCTGCTTGGGGGGCCAGCGGAGTGACGTCCTACGGGGACTCAGATTAGACCTCGCCAGCGCTGGGGGGCTACGATCTGTGAAACTGTCGCCACTTTCGAGGGCTGCTGTGGGGCCCACGAAACTGTCGCCACTTTCGAGACCTGCTGCGGGGTCCAGCATAGTGACGTCCTACGCGGACGCAGATTGGACCCGTCATTCTACTTCGATTATTCCGCATCTGCGATCGACTGTATGTGCGCGAGGAACTAGACATGGAGTGGTCTGGCACTGACTGACGTCAAATCGTTGTGTGCCAGTGTCTCCTGGGGTGATGCAGCTCGTCGGCGCTGCGACTCGAGCTGGCGGTCGTCCTTC